AAGGCAGCCGGTCTAGCCTCGCCAAAAAATCCCCCCAGCCAAGAACTACAGCTGAACCCAACCCAAACCTCAGAGAACTCCTAAACCCACACCCCTGCCCGAAGCAGGACGAGAAACCGCAATGCCAGGCAGGTTTCATCCTAACACGGACCGCAAGGTCTGAGCGGCGACAGCTCTCAAACCCGCGAGTCGCGCCTGCATGCCCCAAGCCGTGACTAAGCCCTGCCGGGACCGCGCCTGGGCTGCTGAGCACTGACCCTGAGCCCTCCACACGCTGGAGGGAGGTACAGCAGCGTTGTTATTCCCTTTATATTCCCCGTAGGTTCACGTATCCAAACGCCGCCACCTCCAGCCTTCCCCCACGGAGGGTGGCACCAAACCAGCTGCCACGCACACCAACGCCAGACCAACAGCCTGGAGCCCAGCTGCGACCGAAACCGGGGGTGCCGGTGCCTCCCACCGAGGGCTCCAGCCCAGGTTCACGGTACAGGCCTGTGGCAGAGCTGGGAAGAGACCCTCCAGCTCTTCCCCCACCCTACAAACTCATCACTCCAAGTGCCCTGGACACAGCTAACAGCAGGCACAGAAACAGAGCCCCACACGCGAGCCCGAAGCGCTCCCTCTCTCCTCGTTTACACTAACTTGCATTTTCCTTCAGGTCAATGCTGCAAAACCAAAGCATCAGTGAGTTTGCACGGCAAAGTCACCTTCAAAACACGCGGCTGATGGCTCAGCAGCTCCTGCTGGAACAGCAGGCAAAGCGTTTGCCCTGCCCCACCGCCTGCCTGCGACGCGACGGCACAGGTCTGACGGAGAGGGTGCGACGGACGGCACCCCACGCCCACCCCCTCTTTCCGAGGGATCTCAGCAACCCCCCCGTACCTACCTCTCCGCGTTACCTCCCCTGGCTCAGGGCAGCCGAATCCTGCACCCCTGCGGCGGCACGAGAACGGCGCTGGAGCATCCCCTCTGCCGTGGCACCAGCAAGGACCACCCAAAGCCGGGCGGGTGCCCATCGCACTGACGCCTCGGCGGAGCCCAGGGACAAATATTCTTGTGATTCAGAGGCATTTTTCCACCGTGGCCCAGGATTTTCCAAGGGACCTAATGAAACACATCACGTTCGCAACGCGCAAGGAGAAATCGTATGCTTACTGATAAAGCGAGAGCCGTCTACCTCAGACAAGCTTACAAAAAAAGAGATTTTGGCCCAGGAAGATAAAAAACAAGATATATTTTGCAGCATGAAAGGAAAAAAAAAAAAAAAAAAAAAGCAGCAGCAGCAACTGTGTTTGCAAACCACCAAAGCGAAACGGAGTTCAAACAGGGATGAAATGGGGGATGCGTGTGGCATCGTCTGACACAGCTTCGATGTCCCAGGTCCGCGGGAGGAGAGAGGAGCGACCCCCTGAAGGGCATGGAAACCAGAGGGCTGGGAGAAGCGAGGAGGTTGCCAAAGCAAGAGGTGAGCCCATCCGCCAAAGCGCAGCCCGAGTCTATCGGAAGGTGACTCGGTCTAACGGGGGAAAGGAGGTAAGGATGGTTTTAGGGAAGAGCCGCTTCCACGAGGCGCCCGGGCGGGATTGCCCACTCCAGCAGCGTGGCAGGTACACGGCTGAAAGAGAGAGGGCTGCAGCTCCAGCCTCTAAAGGTCGAAGACCATGAAAAGCAGGGGGGCCCAGCGGCTCAAAACACCTGCAAAAGGAAAACAACTCTCAAAAGACTGACCCCAGCAAGCCGGCGCGCTCCGTCAACCTGCCCTGCACTCCGAGTCCTCTAGAGCTCCTAAAGACAGGATGGGGGCACGGTCCTGAGGTAGCGACCTCAAGAGCCTCAAGACACCGCCTCGCCCGTACAAAAAGGCGTCATAGTTTGGAAAGCACTCAAATGACCAGAAAACAACCTTCTGCTAGAGAGGTCGAGGCAACGAGAGCGAAAGGAAGAGCAAGTCAGCAGCGGCACGGCCAGCACAAAGCCTCCGCGCCTCCCCCC